GGTATCGGTGCATCCCTAGTTTCTTCACATCATTTAACCTGCAGGGTAAAACAGTCAGTACCTTTCTAATAGGGACAAGTGCTAATAATTCAAATAGGGCCACTAGACTATACCCACACAGTTTCTGTGGTGAACAGTACCGCTACGCAGCCTGTGGCACCTTTAAAGTGGTCAATGTGAGTTCACTTTCCAGCATCATATTTTTAGTTTTAGACTTTACTAGAGTAGCTTTGCATGATTCACATAATAAAAAAACTAAGTTACTTATGTTACTGTGACCTTTGAAGCCAAACGGTTTTAGCTCTCGTCTCTTTAAAGCTCCCCTCCTAGTAAACTGTAATGGTTTAACCTTTCTACAGCCATGCAGACGAGCACATCAGTGCACCGTGACACCGCTGTGTGGTTACAGAGGCAGCAGAGCTCACAATCAACCCCACTTACCCTCTGGTGCTACAGTAAATGAGGTGAAATACTTCTTTTTACACTGGTAATGATAATGTGAAGTGAACCCCCATTTGTAATTAGTCATTAATTAGCAAACAGGATATTCAACAAGGTTTCCAAGTAACTAATAGGGTTGAGCTGGGAGGAAGCTGTACTACATGAATTACGTTGGAAAGTCTGCAAACTTTGTTTTAAACTAAAACAAGAAAAAAGTACTATGCATATTTTCCTACTTCAGTCATCCCTTTAAGTTGTGTACTGACACAAAGCTACTCAAATTACTGTGGTCACGCAATTAAACACACAAGATCTTTACTGTTTGGTTTGATCCGAACCGAGCTGCGGTTCTCACAGCAGATACTACAGCGCCAGCTCATCGAAAGTGACAGTATTTGGATTGTTCTCTCTCTGTCCTACTTCACAGTCGTTCCTCTGCTTTAGACTCAGAAAAGGCACAGTTTGTTCTTTTTTCCATACTGCAAGACCAAAAGAGCAAGCAAGGAGACACAGGAAATAGCAGATTTGCAGACATTTCATGCGATATTTACAGTAGCTATGAAGTTGGGAGGGGCGGAGATGATGCACTACAAGTCGCAAATAAATTCAGTGTGGGTGTTTTAAGTGCAGCACCACACAAACGGGGCTACCGACAAATCTCTGCACTTTGCACATACAGGATCGGGGTGTTGAGATTGTGATCTATCGCACAGTATCACCAAGGAAGCGTCTGATTGGTCCCAAATTCATTCTGCAGCACGACAAAGACCCCAATCATAAAGAAAGAAGACTAAAGGGTCGCGCAACAGATGGTTCGGTCCTCACAGAGTTTCAGATTTCATTAGGAGACGGAAGCGAATCCACAGAAGCTCTCGGTGATTCAAAGAAAAAAAGCTGAAAAACCGGTGACCTTAAAGGCAAAGTACACAATAAATATTGATTTAATGTAGTTTTACTTTTTCTATTGATTATACTTCTATTAAAAAAAAACTGATATAGAAAATCTAATGAGGGATATCTTTGAAAGCCCGCTTTTCTTTATTTTTAGCGGTTAAAAATGGATCCAGTGATATACGCTTTTGTGTGTCTGTGTGCGTGCACCAAGGCGTGGTGAGAGCAGTGACTGGCAGTGTCAGTTGGGCTCTGCCTTTTTGGCTCGGTTACAGATTTTAGAGGAGGAGGGGGAAGGCAAGAAGCGGATGGTGGGAAGAAGAGAAAAAAGACAAAAGAGAGAGAAGAGCACTTGCCAAAGGCACAAAAGTGACAGTTTTCCAAACTGAGGAGCACTCGGCGTCTTTCTGTCAAATTTAAAAAAAAAAAGAAAAGATAAGAAGAACTTATCTAAAAAGAGAAAATAAAGAAAAGTAGTAAAAAGGAGGTGAGCCAGAGACATGACAAAAGGTCAGATGGGAGGATGCAGGAGGGGAAAGAGGTTTAAAAAGGAGTCAGAAGAACCGTCACATAAGATAAAATGTGAGCCCCGCTGTGTTGGCAGGGCAGGCAGCAGCAGGCGGATCCCCGAGCCGCTGCTGTGGCTGTGTTTGGAAGCCAAGCCCAAAATCAATACCGCTGCAGCTCTGTGGCTCTGGCTGCCGGCCCCTCCCAGACGGGCCACCAGCAAAACGCAGGAAAAGGAAGGAGATTTTTCAAGTGTGGCTGAGTCAAGATAAATATTTTGTCTCCGCAAGTTTCCCACCATAACACTTGCCGCTTTTGTTTTATCAAAGTGTGTGCGCATGTGAGAGTGTGTCTGTGTGTGTGAGTGAAATCGGGTGGGGAGGGGCGTTTGAATCCCTGAAGGAGTCTCGGGATTGTTTCTTAGACGTCCTTACATGACAACATCCAAGCGAGGTGACATTTGAAACTGTAAACACTGATGACACCGGAGGACAATACTACACCGATAGCTGGAGTTGAATCAACAGCTATTACGCAAAGCTAAGTGCAGCTGTGTTTATTGTCCCTTCCCTGAATGCCACTTAAAATCTATTGCTGTAAATGGATTAAATGCTGTGTTTATGTACCGCTGAAAGGGCCTGAGAAGAATTGATCAAACTACCAATTATGGCAAACGTGGCAAAAATCGTTTTGGTCAATGCGCTTTTGTCTGGTGCTTTTTGTTTTAAACAGCCTTCTTTTAAGCGGTGGACGTCCTTGAACTTTTAATAAATGAATTAAGTTCAAATGAAACTAAAATAGCGGTGGGCACAGGGTTGCTCTGTCAGAGGAGGGTTTATTTTTGCCTGGGAACATAATCCTGCAGGCGCAAAAGCCAGTTTCTGGTTCCTTTACAGAAGATGTGAAAATGCAGACAAAGGGAGCGACAAGAAACTGAGGTGGCAGAAGGCTTGTGCACTTTGAGAGAACTGAAAATAGAGTAATGTGCAAAGGAAAAAAGAGAAGCAGTGCATCCAAAATCCTTGCATTCGCTCCTGCTTATCCTTGTCAGGGTCGCGGGGAGCGTTTGAGCCTATCCCAGCTGTCTTAGGGTGAGAGGCAGGGTACACCCTGGATAGGTTGCCAGTCTGTCGCAGGACTAACACACAGACAGAGACAAACAATCGCACTCACATTCACTCTCCTATTCACACCTAATTTAGTGTTTCCATTTAACCTATCCCCACTAACTGCATGTCTTTGGATTGTGGGAGGAAGCCGGAGCGCCCGGAGAGAACCCACGCAAACACAGGGAGAACATGCAAACTCCACATAGAAAGACCCCGGCCTGATGGTGGAATTGAACTCAGGCAACAGTGCTGACATCCATGCCACTGTGCAATGTTTGATGCACATATTACCAGTAATGCCAGTAATCCAAACCTCAGTCTGCACTCAAAGCTCGTACGAGTTTTTGGTTTAAAGGATGCAACAGTTTGTAACATCATCACAGCCCTGTAAGCACCTATCCTGGCATTTTGGGTGCTCTGGACTTCTTGCAATCTTCTACCGATTGATTAAAAACAAAGAAACTTTTTCAAGCTGTTTCAGCTTTTCCTTGGTGTAATCTGAGAAGTCCTGAACTCCTGCACTTGATTGTACACTTCTGTGTCCAGCCTGGGGAACTGGAAGGAGCACGACAAGCTGAAATTACACCAAATGTGCCATATGGATAATAAGGACATGAAGGGCTCACTAGCGATTCATGCAAAGCTACTCTTGTAAAGTAGCTCTACTGTAAATCTACTATCTATCAAGATGATTTGGTTACCTAGGCTTTGATTATTGGCTTCATTATTAACATATTATAATCGTGTATATTTATGCTAGCCCACATGGTTGTAAAATGTGCTGTTTGGACACAACACAATGATATTATGGTTGTTAAGGTATCCATTGACTTGCTGAGGGTTGGTCCACTCTCAGAGGAAAATTCTGACAGTGTATATAATTGAATCTCAGACAACCATGCCCCTAAGACAGACATACTGTCATACTTTCCCAGTTCAAATGAACCATGGCAGGTAAAGCATGGCACAAGCAGTCATGCAGGGAGGAAGCCTGCTGGGAGGGGAAACATTTGGACTCAGCCTCGGGAGATATATTTTATTAAATCAGCTATTCTGTAGACTTGGATTTTTATGTTGGCGTTCCTCCCACTCTATCGCTCCCAATCTCTCACCTCCCTTCCTCACTCGCTTCTTCCAGCTCAGGGGATTTGGAGCTGTCACTCTGACAATGAACTGCATCCAACATGAAAACAGACAAAGCGGAAGGCTTTCGTTTATTGATGACAGGTGCCAAGATGTTTTACTTCTTCTCTTTGCTCTTGACAAATCGAAAGTGTAATGTACACGCGGCAGGAATCAATCTCGTGCTTAACATCTTTGCAGTCACTCACTCGGTGCTTGCGTACACTGTGGCGAGACTGAGAGTCCTTTTTTATAAAGCAAAAAAACATTCAGAGAATCCAAAAATATATCAAACACCTCCAAACCAAAGTGCTGGAAAAGCAATTTTCAAAATGAATGGTTACCTATATTTGGAGACTGTTTGTTCTCTAAAGTAAAGGGGTACATCTGAAGACATCAGGCATATTTCAGGCAAGAGAAGTGCTTTTTTTCTTAGGTGCCACTCCAGAGAGTCAATCCATCAGACACTCACCAGTCATGCTCTTCACCGAACATTGGCTGTTCTTCCTCTTCCTTTTTGGGCCATTGAGCCACCTGAGAAATAACAAAGGGACAAAGAGAGACAAGCAAAGAGGAACAATCAACGCCTGTAAATATACAACACTTATTTCTGTAAAGCTGTGTGTATGTAGGTCATAAAGAAAATATATAGCCAGGTATGCCAAACACATCACAGTCGGAGCTGAATCAGACAAATCACATCTGGAGGGGGTTTGGCTCACACTGACATCACATTGCAGGCAGGTGTCTGGTGGTTCAGCCAGACGGATTATATGCCCTCAATTGTGATTTTTCAAATTGCACATCAAAGAACTGCAGACGAATGCTTTCTCCGCGAATGGAAAATAAGTAGATCTGATACAATAGCACCGTTTCCCTTTATGCCAACAAAACCAATCAGCAATGTGGCCACATCGTGAGGGGAAGCCAGCAGATATATTATGTTCCATCCGGTGGTCACCGGTTATAAATACAGGTAAGTTCTGTTATATGTCTTTAGAAAGAAAGAAAGAAAGTGTACTTTATTGATCCCCGTGGGGAAATTCCTCTCTGCATTTA